TTAGTTTTCTTATCATTTTCTTAATTTAGGTTTCTTCTTTTTTGTTTTACCTTTTTCCTTCTCTTTTGCCTCCTACTTAACATCCAGGCCTTTCTCTCTCTTTTTTGTCGTACCTCAGCGACAAGAATATTGCCCCAAGGGCTTCTATTTGTTTCCCTGTATCATTTTTCCCAAACCCACCTACAAACCAACAGCAGAAGCTTCTGTCATATTCACTTGAGCCGGCCGCTATTTTCCCAAGTATTTGGCTTGTTTGTTTGCTTTTCTTAACCGACCAGCTTCTTCTGAATTGTTGCAAACGAAGAATCCCAACGACAACAACAAAACAAAATCCCCCACCAATATCATCCCACACACACACACACACTTACACAAGCCACTGTCGACAGTTCAACTCAGCCCACCGAAGTAACTCAACAGCAACTGAGCAATCACCCGTACATCGACCTTTATGTGGAAGAGAAAACACACCACAGTACCACCGAGAACTCATTAGCGGTCGTCCTCCTCTGGAACTGAACCGCGCCCACCCACACAGCGACATACATTTTCACGCGCAGAAACCGAAGAGCCTAGCAATCACAATGTACAACGACGACGACGAGGCCACTAAGCCGCTTACCGGCGGCTTGTCGGGAAGCGACCAATCGCCAAGTAGTGGTGTGGTCAAGCCGAAAACACTGGAAACTGTTGGAAATGTAAGTAACCTGAAAGTAAACTTGAGAAATAGCTCTAAACTTTTGATTTTTCTCCTTTTCCAGGGCCGTCACCACATTCTCAGCATCACACCGGTGGTGGAAGAACGTGAATCGGACGTTGAGTCGGACGTCGATCGAGAGGCGGTGGTCTACAAGCCGACGACCATGTCCATCGAGGGCGGCGGTGGTGGTGGACCTACTAAAATGGCCCCAGTTGACCTAGAATCTGGCAATGGAAAACCAAAGGCGTACATCTTTCCAATGCAGAAGCAGCAACAGCATCAGCCTCTGCCTGCGGCGCCCTCCTCCACCGCCGGCTCCTCCACGACGGGCGCCTCCACGGAGACCTGCTCCGAGGGCGGGCACTCGGCAACGCCCTCCGATTCGCGATCCATGTGCGACACGCCCGACCCGGACCCCTGGACCATTCCCGAGCTGAAGACGGCCACCGGGCCGGCCTGGAAAGGTAGGTGTATCTTTTTCCTTCCATTTTCATTAGTTTAGATGGATTTGCTGTTGTTCCCGAGGACTTCTCTTCTTTCCCAGAATGTGTAGGTGGTAGTTAAGGAGAAAGAAGAGTGATGGCTTCTCTCTCTTTCCTTCTAACGTTTGTTTGTCCCTGCGTGAAGGCACTCTTTCTTTGCAAAGGCGCCCTAAAGGCTGCTGCTGCCGTAGCTGTACAAACACTGATGCTGCTTTTCTACCCGTACTTTACGAATCTCGGGAATGTAGTTGTAGAGCAGCAGTTTCTTTTATTTATTTTTGTACTCGCCTTTGCAGAATTGAGTGAGAGAGAATCGGCGGCGATTTGTTATTTCTCTTTTCCTTTTGAGAGTTTGTATTTGGTGGCCTAGAACTCTACTCTACTTTTTTCCTTTTCAGTCTGTTGCACTGCAGTTCAATTATCTCTTAATTTATTTTTTATTTATTAGGTGCAGGAGAGGGAAGAAAATATTTTTGTCTCATTTTTTATGCTAGTCAATTGAGGCTCGATGATAATTGCTGAGCCTTTTAACAGTGAATCTTGATTGTTCGGTTTTGGGATTTATGCATTTTTTTCTGAGCGTAGAAGGATTCTTCTTTTTTGCCTTTTTGAATGTATCCCTGACATTTGCCGGCGGCATTCGGTGGCGGCGGCTGCGGATTCTGTGTCTTGTGACACTCGATCGCCAGTGTGCCCTTGAAAATGAAAGGGGAAGGAGAAGGAGATCTCTGTTTTGGCAGTCGTACAGTAGTGCAGTAGAACTGTGCTGTTGTACGGTGGCAGCAGCAGCAGCTGTAGCAGAAGCATTCGTGTATAGGCATTTGTTATTTTTTGTTGGTGTTATTATTTCACCGGGGAGCAAAAAAGCACTACCACTAGCAAGCTGTTTTCTGTCAATCAACAGCAGTGCTGTGCATTGAATCATCTGCTGGGAAAAGAGGAGTTCCAAAGCAGAACCCAGATCGGCTACAGGGAAAGATGGGTGCCGGTTTAATTACCCGGTTAGAGTTTGCTTTTCCCGAATGCCTTCTTTTTTTCCACGGTTTAGCCCGTTCCCGGGAGACCGTTTGTCGCTGGTTATGATTGGAGAGTGTTTAGAGGCGGCGACGACAATGGCTGTCAGAATTTGGAATTCTGTTTTGTTGTTTCTGCTTTCTGTCTTTCTCTCCTCTCGATCTGCTATCATCCCCGGCAACGGCGAATGTTATTTTTATGCTGTTCAGTTTTGCTGTTTAGGTGATTTTTTATTTATTTCCAAGTTTAGTAAAAATAGATTTGTTGCAAAGTTTGCACCAGTGTGGCAACCGGCAGTCCGTCCCTTTTTGCTCCTGGAACTCAGAATAGAGGTCTCTTCCTTCTTCTCTTGATGGTTATTCCGTTACAGTCTGGTGAGATTTAGGTAGACGTAGTTGGCTTCGTTTTCGGTTTCAGCCGGTGCTGCTGCTGCTGACGTAAATCGATTTACGCTTTTGCCCCTCTCTATTGTCTGTTCAATTTAGACAAGTGCTGCTGGCTGTGCAAAATGGAGGGAAAATAATGGTTACACAACAACACAAAAACAACAACAGCGCGTAAACAAGGGAGCAAGAAAAAATGAGAACTGGTGCACTTCTGTTTTTGCTGTTGTAAGAACATGAGGACAGTTTTTTCTGCTAAACCTGAACTTTGGGGGTAAGAAATAGAGAAAAAAACTGCTTCCTCTCTTACTTCGATTGATTGATTTGCCAGTACGACTAAACAATTCCTCCAAATTCACNTGAGAACTAGTGCACTGTTGTTTTTGCTGTTGTAAGAACAAGAGGACAGTTTTTTCTGCTAAACCTGAACTTTGGGGGTAAGAAATAGAGAAAAAAACTGCTTCCTCTCTTACTTCGATTGATTGATTTGCCAGTACGACTAAACAATTCCTCCAAATTCACTGCCAAATTACTGGCAATTGGTGGGGAGGGTAGTTAATTCACTCTGACAATCGTTAGTTTTTTACATGACAAGTGCATGATTTTTCTCTTTTATTTTTCTTTTTCGTTGTCATTATATTCTTGAGACAAAAAGACAATAGAAAAGTCGACTTCAAGGTCGACTTCGACTGTCTCTGTTGCTGCTGATAAAACACATGCGACAAATTGTCTGAGACAGCCTGCTGCTGCTGCCAAGTCTGCTCTTGTCATCCTCTTGTCTTTACCGACGACTCCACTCGGACAGTTCCATTGACCAGACGCCAATTTGGCAGCAATCTTTCAGTGTGAGACGAGGCAATCAAGAGTGCATTTACTTTACTNTGTTGCTGCTGATAAAACACATGCGACAAATTGTCTGAGACAGCCTGCTGCTGCCAAGTCTGCTCTTGTCATCCTCTTGTCTTTACCGACGACTCCACTCGGACAGTTCCATTGACCAGACGCCAATTTGGCAGCAATCTTTCAGTGTGAGACGAGGCAATCAAGAGTGCATTTACTTTACTCAGGATCCATTTGTCTAATGCACATTTGCTAATACAGTCTTTCTCTTTCTCTGCCTACTCCTACCTAATAATGCCTCGTTCCATCTGTGCTCCCTTGAACCTGAGCTCAGCACAAGGTGACATTTAATTGGAGGGGGTTACCATCTGACTCACTTCATGATGGGAACTATCGTCTGTCACGCTTGGCTGATCTCGCTGACTGATTACGCTGCTTAGACTGAAGGAGAGAGAAAAGGACTTCTGTGTTACGTGAGTTCTTGTGTGTTTGTTAGAGGGTGATGATAGCCTTGGTATTTAGAATCGTAAGGTTGGAAAGCTGTTTTAGCTTATGAGAGAGTGTTTTCTGCCTTTCAATTATTGGCAATTTGCCTTTTTCTGACTACAATTTGGTAAAGTAGTAATAGAAGTCAATAATACTGCTTCATAGAAGGGCAATTTTGGTTGCCATACAGTGTACACACACAAAGTTGATTGTTATTTCGTTTTGCTTCTTTTTGTTTTTGTGTTTGGTTCTAGGTTTGGTTGTATGTGTGTTCGCACTCGATTTGTTTGAGCTTTCGATCATTCATTAAGCAGTAGTGCCTTGCACTGAACTAGTGCAATCTGCTGCTGCTGTTTCTGTGAAAATCGGTGCTGCATCTTGTATGCACTAGTTACCAGCTACCAGTTTGTTGGGTACGGTTGTTTAAACTAGGTGGTGATGGTTGTACGTGTTTACGGTTAGCCTCCTTTTTCTGCTTTGGTTTAGCTGGTAAAGGGGTGGTCATTAGGAGAGTGCTACCGAAAAAATGAACTGAAAAGTACATTGACTGAACTAAAGTACAAAACTGATTTTTCTGGTTTGCACACTTCTCTTTTTCCCGGGAAAAGCTTATGATCAAAAGGTTTTTCTTGCTTATCTCTAAATTAAATTGAAAATTAGCAGCAAAGAAGAAAAGTGTGTGCAGATGAAATGTACTGTGTACTTTGTACCTTTTTCTTTTTTATTTTTTGTACTTTGTAAGCCCTTTTCAGCTGCACCTGTGTGAAGGGCAGGCTTGAAAGAAAATTGTGCGACTTTTTCTTTCTCTAGTGAGCTGAACTTGTTTGGTGCAGAACTTTTCTTCTTCTTTTCTGTTCAGTCATTGCCTGTACATAGGCAATTTTGTACAAAAGGCATTTTCCTTTGAACCCATCAACTGGTGAACTTGGACAGACATAAAAAATTTGTTCTTTTTCCTTTGTCGTTTTATACAGACGGCTGCTGCTGTCGTTTGGCAGTCATTTTTGCATGATGCTGCATATAATCATCATCATAATTTTTCACTAGTGAAAGAAGCAGGAATTATTAAAGTCTGGCGTGTGCCGACAGTGTAGAGGCAGTGACAGTGGCATTTTTCGCTTTGTTTTTTATTATTCCATTCCTTTGATGCTCAATTTGTCTGCCCGGGCAACCAAACAGCAGCCGGCGATGAATAAAAATGAGGCTGATTTATGACGGCGAGCATCTCGTGCCACCTAAAGTGACATTAAATGCTGTCCAGGGCCGCTAAAACCGGGCACACAAGAGAATGTGTGCAAAGGGAAAGGAAATTAGAGAAAAGTAGGAGAGAAGTAGTCTTTAGAGGTGAACAAGAGTGAGAGGTTAAAGTCCTCATTTTTATCTAAAAAAAAGTTTACTCATTTTTACCAAACTTTTCTCTACTAAAACTAACCAACTTTTTTCAACTTTTTTAGATCTCTCCACGACGGGCAAACTTCGCCAGGTGGGCTTGGTGCTGGGCAAGGCGGCCAGCCTGCTCGCCCTGCTCTACTTCTTCATCTGCAGCCTCGACCTGCTGAGCACCGCCTTCCGCCTACTCGGCTCTCGGGCCGTGGGTCGCTTCTTCAGCGACAATGAACTGCTGCAGAATCCGGTGGTGGGGCTGATGATTGGTGTGCTGGTGACGGTGTTGGTGCAGTCGAGCAGTACCAGCACCAGCATCGTCGTGACCATGGTTGCCAGTAAAAGTAAGTGAGGTTTTTTAGGTTTTTTATGGTTTTTACCTCTTTTTTTCTTTAGTAATCCACGTCCGGCAGGCGATTCCCATCGTGATGGGCGCCAACATTGGCACCTCCGTCACCAACACCATCGTCTCGCTGATGCAGTCGGCGGACAGGAATGAGTTTCGCCGCGCTTTTGCCGCCGCCACCGTCCACGACATGTTCAACTGGCTGACGGTGCTGGTGCTGCTGCCCACAGAAGTCTTTACGCGCTACCTCGAGACGACCACCACGTGGATTGTCAAGGGAGACGATGGAAGCGGTGCAGGGATTCAGCAGGACAAGACGGCGAATCGGGACTTTCTGAACAAGCTGACGAAGCCATTTACGAAGATGGTCATTAAGGTGAGGGTTTGAAAAGAGGTTTGAAGTGGTTTGAGTAGTTTTTAATTTGTATATTTTTGTTACTGTAGATCGACAAAGCCCTTCTCGAGAAGCTCGCCTCTGGAACTGAAACGTCTTCAGCTACCGGAAACGCTACCGATCAATCTGCCGGCGTTCCAAACGACGCTCGCCTGCTGGTGATGTGCTGCAACGATGAGGACGTTTGCAAGGAGAACTGTGAGTGGTGAACATCTCAACACTTTTTTAGATTCTGGATTTCTATTTATTAATTTTATGTTTTCAGGCACCGATTCGCTCTTTGGTATGCTCGCTTTCAGCGACACTACGACCGGTGTCATCCTCCTTGTTGTGAGCATTCTGGTTCTCTGCTCTTGTCTGATCTTTCTCGTCAAGGTGCTCAACTCAATGTTGACGTAAGTTTTTTTGAAAAACTTTGATAAAACTCCTTTTCTTATCAAAACTTTAAACCTACCCCAGTGGCCACATCGCCAAGCTGATCAAACGGACGATGAACCGCAACTACGACTTTCCCTACAACATCATCGCCGACTACACGGCGATTGCCGTCGGCTGCGCCATGACCATCCTCGTCCAGAGCAGCTCCATCTTCACCTCGGCACTGACCCCGTTGGCCGGCATTGGCGTCATCTCGCTGGAGCGCATCTACCCGCTGACACTGGGCTCNGACTTTCCCTACAACATCATCGCCGACTACACGGCGATTGCCGTCGGCTGCGCCATGACCATCCTCGTCCAGAGCAGCTCCATCTTCACCTCGGC